CAGGCATATAATAACCATAAGTTATCATAAATTATGATGAGTACACAACCCTTGGAATGTGGCAAGAGTTACCATTTCATAATAATATTCACATAATTAGGTACTAATAATAACATGAGCTCAACTCTATATGGTAAATGTCTGAATGAGTGAGTGAGTGAAATAAACTAAGACTCATAAAGTTTAAATCATTTACTTGCTGAGGTTCATAAGAAATATTTGAAACTTAAACTAAGTCTCACGATAGGTATAGCTTTTTGATAGGAAAGAAAGGAGAACCTCCAAGTATGGGAAATGTCAAGAAGAAAGAGATATGTGCAGACTGAGCCTTATGTGCTTATGACAAAGAGACAAACAGTCTAGCTAGGAACAGGGTGTATGTGGTGAGTATTTGGAAATACAGTTTGATATAGAATAGGACAGCAGTTACATTAACTCTAAGAGTTTGGATATGATGCAGTGACTGTAAGCAGAGGAACAAGAAAATGTATGGTGTAAACTGGAAGTTGTGTGGATTTGACAGGAAGAAGCAACTGCTTGATGATAGAAGCATTTATAATCATTTTAAAGGCAGAATTATGAGGGCCTTGATTTTCACAGGAATTCCAAAGGGAGTAAAAAAGGAATGTCTAAGGAATAGTTTGAAAGAAAAAAAATGGGTACAGAAGCAAAGGACAAAGAATAAACAACACAGAAATCACTGTTTAGTGGGAAGTCTTATTAAATGATTAAAAAATAGAATAGAAATAGGTGCAAGTTAGAAGAGAGAAAAATTTAACATAGAGCTTGAGGTAATAGTAGATACTGTCTGCATCCAAATGTAGATAATGTCTGCATCCATGGAATGGTCAGTCTGGTGTACATGCACAAAAATCAGGCCTAAAGATGCATAATTTTAAGTCATGATGTGGACAGAAGGCACATGGAAAGAATATATTAAGCAGACTTGAAGGAGGGATGGACCCAAGTTCAAGTTCTGAGTGTGAAATTGAACTTGCGTAGGTGAATTAACATCTCTGAAACGCAGTTGCTCCATGCTTTATGTAGAAAAAAAGTAGTATTTACTTCACATTACTTTTAGCATAAAACATGAGAGGGCCTTGCAAACTTAAGTGTAGATTAAGATACTGTTATATAAAGTCATGAGAATCAAGGTGTAGATATCTTAAGCTCTTTGAAATTGATGCTTTAACCTTATTTTATTCACCAAAAAGTCACATCTTACTGGACTATAGAGTATAATGTTTTATTATTAGAGAACATCAAAGGTCATTTGACCGATCTGCTTTGAAATACAGTAAAAATAATTTCTAAATCCTCACAAAAACCTTGAAATAATCATCTTTGGAATTTGGTTAAGTGGGGAAATAGTTTGACTAATGAATAGAGGGATAAATTCAGTAAATTTTCTGTTCAAAAATTCTTCGGATGGCATATTCTCACAAGTAAAATACATCTAAAATAATTCTTATGAGAACAGTCCACTTAAAAATGCCATATTACATAGTTTTTCCCAAGTGCTCAAGGAATATATTCTCAAGGAAAGACCTTATCTTTGTACACAAAATAAATATCAATAAATTTATGCATACTGAAATCATATCAAGCATCTTTTCAGGTTCGTAACTAAAAAACAGAAAAAAGGAAATTGCTATAAATTTGTGGAAAATAAACAGTATATTACTGAGCAACTATTGAGACCATGGGAAAATTAAAAAAAAAAAAATGGAGACTGGGCCTCCTCAGTAGCACAGGGTTAAATCTCATTACTATCAAGCTGTACCCAGCCATTGCATCATCATCAGTTCAAACTGCTGCCAAGCAGCTAACACACATGGAGCATCAGACCTCTACTATCTCACCTGCTGCTCCCCTCAGCAGTGTATTTCAGTGGATCTGACTATTCTGTTCCTCACTCTGTCGCTGGTGAATCCTCTCACCCCCCCCCAACCCTCACACCTCGGTCCTACACCCGCATTCTTGTATGCATAAATAAAATAAAAACAAATCTTTAGAGAAAACAACTGTAGGTAAAGGGAAATTACAGGGCTTTTCAGAATCCATAGGATTCTCCAAACAAAAGCAATACTATAAGAGAATGTAGTATCAGTACAGGCCTATCTCAGAAAACAGATGTGATCACAAATAAAAAAAAATCTAACTTTACACCTTAATGAACTACAAAAAGAGAAAGAAGCCAAAAGTCAGTAAGCAGAAGGAAATAATAATAACTTAAATAGAAATTATGAAAAAATTAAAAAGAATACAAAAGATCAACAAAGCCACAAGCTGATCTTAACCAGACAAAGCATTAAACTTACAAAAAAAAGAGAAAACATAAAAATAGTCAGAAATCAAAAAAGAAAACATTACAATAGATACAACAGAATCAAAAATAGATGCAAAGAATCAAGAGAGTATTGTGAATAATTATATAATTATATGCAAGAAACCTGATAGCCTATAAGATACAAATTCTTGATGACTAATTCAGACAGAAATAGAAAATCTGAACTGATTTCAGTATACATAATTTTATTGCGAAAGTAATAAAATTGAAACAGTAATCAAGAGCCTCCCCCCAAATATGCAAAACAAAGACTTTCTATACACAAAATACTAACATGATCAAGTAAGTTCAAATATTCATGTAATTTCATCCATCTTGTATCTTCTTGTGCCAGTTATGGTTTTGTTAAAAATAAATACTATGCTTAGATATTTGACACATTTTTACAGTATAGTATTGGTATGCTTTTTGAAAACTGTAAAACAAATATTTCTTTACCAGTTGAGTGAGTTCATCTATTCTTATAAATACAAATGATTTTTATTTTACTTGATATAATTACTTGATATATATAATATATAATTATATATTATAAAATATATAATTTTATTTGCCATTAGTAGATCACATAGATGAAAGTGTTCAGTGTTGCACATGAGTCACAAAAGCATGACGCTATTATTTTGTCACTGTGAATAAAGTCAAGGAACATAAGACAAAAAAAGTACTATTTGTATAATTTTTTTATTATTAGGTTTCAACTTTGAAAATGCATAATACTAAATTACAAAAATAACTCATTTAGCCACTCTGCTTGATTTAAGAATACATAATAGTCGATTATTGATCTTATTAGACTTCCTAAATTTATGAATTGTATTGAAATACCTAATATTATCTTTGGAGAAAATTGAAACAAAGGTACCTGGTCAGACTAGAAGTTCTTGAGGGATACTTTATGTTCATAGACAACATTTGTGATATTATTACTTCATTTGTAACACATTAATCTGAAAAAATACTTTTACCCATTTGGCTGAGACCTGTAGTTATTGTTGTTTCTTAAAAAAAATTACAACTCAATTTTGTTCACTTAATGACAAGTCACCAAATATAAATGCCAAACAAGTTGTAATTATATTTTACTTTGCTATCTTTCTCTGTATTTTTGGCATGGAAGTCAAGGTCTGAGCTATTCATTGGAGATGCCACAAATACTATATTTCTATCTTTCAAAAGTATTCAAAGGATTATTTGAATACTTCATCAATATGCTTGATTCCCCAAACTAAGGACAATACCTTAATTTAGCTTTGCATTCCCAGCACCTTGGACAGTGCTAGAAACAAAATGGACGCAGTATCTCTGTGGGGGCACATGAATTTATGAAAGATTTTCTCCTAAGGCTAAGTTTTACTTGTATGTGGTTGAAGATACTAATCAACAGGGCTTGAATAGCTCTTTATTTTGCTGTAATGGTATTCCTTGTATGTAAACAATTACTAAATTAAAGCATTATTATTTTTAATGAAGATGTTTATTTTTTAATAAAGATGTTGCATTTGGAAAATAAATTCTTTTACAAGAAAATTCATGTTAGCATACACAATTATTATTTCAAGATATTGGCTTCTTTTTACCTACTGTATTACTAATGTTGGAGAAATTTAACTTTAAAAAAAATCCTTCTGAAGCGGTATTTACGTCTAGTCTCATCTTGAAGCTCAAGGAATTCTTTTTTAAAATCAAATTTTATTGATTTTCCATTTGTTTACTTAAATGTATAATTTTGGAAGTACAGCTTCACACTTCAACCTGTGTATCACCAAGGATTTCTTAGAGGTAAAGGCAAAGACCTCCATACCGTCCTTACTCTTTAAAAATAATAATAATAATAAAGGAGAAAGAATTTTCCAGTCCGATCTTTATAATACAAGTGTTATAGGACAAAATCTGTTATATGACAGGGAGAGAGGGAGAAACCCCTGAAGCCCCAAAACCTGCCTGCTCTAAGTGGGTTCTGCCATCTGCCGCACAAGACAAAACATATAAAACTTTAACGAAAAGGGACTTTAATACAGTGAATATACAACACAAAGAATATAACTTCTAAATCAAACACCTGAAGTTACCCATCCCCTCTTGGGCAAAAGTCAACCCAAAAGGGATTGGCCCAAAGCAAGGCCTGAGAGCCTGCCACTAGACTAAAGCACCTTCTGGCCGGGACCCATGGAAAAGGGTCAGAAATGGCCAGACAAATCTGGGAGCAAAAGAGCAAAATCAAAATCAATATAAACACTGGCATAGTCACCTCCCTACAGGTATCTCACCCACAGCTGCCTTAACCAGTCCAGGGTCAGGAAACAAGCCTGGCTTCTTCATCACATGCTTGCTGCTCCATGTGGCTTCCTTAGGTCTCCTCCTTCTCCATCCTGCTTCATTCTCTTCTTCTCCCTTCTCTTCTCAGCTCCACCCTCCTTCTGGGTGGGGCAGGGACCCTGGAACTTCCCTTTTTCCTAGGGACCACCCTGTTATACAAGTACTGAGCAACAGTATGGATTAATGTACACTATAAAGGCATATATTCCGAATTCCCATTTTTGAAATTCCCCTTAAACTCATGTCTTAGTAATTCACTCGATGATTCTTGTCACCCACATGCACTACTATAAAGCTGTGGAACCTCAACAATTGCTCCTTGTCTTCACAGTGGAAAATGGAACTTAAAGGAGAGAAGAAAATGCACAGCCTGCCAGTAAACGATCTCTGTAAATCGGTAGTTATTCGGTTTGCACTAAATTTATCTCGGCAACACAAGAACCCTTTGTCTGTGGGACGGTGAGTCTGGCAACCATTATTTACTCCAGGAAAAGACATCTGATGACTCCGCCCGGGTTGGGGGCGGGGAGGGTGCACCGCGTGGAGAGCTCCACCGAGAATTAAAGTGAGCGAACAAAGAGAACTCCCAGCAGCCGTCCGCCAGCTCCTCGCAGCTGCATCGGGAGACATCAGTCACGGCCGGAAGGCTGCTGTTTGAATCGCCTCCCTGAGAAAAAAGCTCAAGTAAATAATTGATGGAGATTGATCCGACCGAGGACAAAGCTTTGCAGAAATCCAGTGCGTCTCGTTTTCGAGCTGTTTTGGAATTTTCTGCCAAGTGCGGCTGAGAGTGCAGCAACGACTTTGAGGGCGGCAACCGATCTACCATCTCGGGCGTGGCCCTAGCTTTTTTTTTTTTTTTTTTTTTTTGTCTTTTTGGGCACCCCGGCTCTCCCAATCCCAACCCCGCCTTCGTCTCTTTCCTCTTGAACGTAGCCTCTCTTTGGTTACTTATCCTGTCCTCCCTGGCAATCCCACCCCCTCCTCTGCCCAGGCCGGTGAGGTCAGCTCATGAATATCAGGGCACTTCGTGAGGAGCGTCTGGCACCGCTTGGTACCTCGCTGTTCTCCAGCTCCGAGGCTTAGCTCCAGCCTAGGCGAGGGCCACCGGGAAGTAATCTGTTCTGAAGACCCTATGATTGTTCGCACGTTAACGCCATTGTGTGAAGAAATGGATTGATTGTGGAACTGGGACGCACGACCCCATTTATAACCCAGCTAGAAAGTCACAAATAATACTAAGAAGTTAAACTTTCCTCATCTCTCAGAGACGACCTAACAGACCCGGAGAGTCCGGAAGATCAGAAGGAAAACGCTGCTGATTTTCAACTTCGAAATACCGTTTCTGCTGAGAAGTGAGCAGTTCTGGATTTCTAAAGGGATGGGGGTGAGAGATGGGTGGCTCTATGGGCAGACAAAAACCGAGAGTAAGATATTGGTTTGGGTTATGCCGGGTTTCTTGACTGGCGATTCCAACTTGAAGCCTTGATTAGACTCAGCATCTTGTCACTTTGTGAGAACCACGTGACAGCAGTAACCACCCAGTGATTATGGGAGAGGAGGTCCCGGAACCCTAGCTTTCTTCTGGGTTGAAGCTATCTGGAGGTTGAGTTTAAATTCCCTGTGGTGGAGTCTTAAATCCAAGTTATTCTGCTTAATTAAAAAAAAAAAAAAACAGGATGTTGCATTGGCAATAAAACATATTTGGGTGGTCCACATTAGTGTGACCTATGTCAGGGAATGAAGCCAGACATTCTGGAAGCATGTGGCTCCAGGGGAACAATGTAGAAAATAAGTTGATGAGCAATATCTCTCCCTCTCCTTCACAATATATTCTTTCCATACCATTATTTTCAAAAGGGCTTGGGAGGTGATCATGGGAAAAGAAAGGAAGATGGTGAAGAGATTTTTATAAACATTTTTTTTATAAAATTGGGGATTACTACACACATTTTAAATAGACAATAGCAGGAATAGAGTTAGAATCTTTTCTAATATTTTCTTTCTCCCCACTCCCCTTCCCCCACTAAGCAGAACTTTCTGCCTAGTCATGCCCTTTTTAGTGCTTTGGAGAGAAATTACAGTTCTATGGGACAGATATCTAACTGACTAGCTTACAAGTTTGCTGGATCACTAGGAAGAAGAGCCCAACAGGTAATTAGTGACTTGGAAGTTTCCAGATACGAAAAGTCAGTGATAGATTTATCTTGGAAAAGCAGCACAATAGAAATTGATGTTAGCAACATGAGTGAGAATATGCCAGCCTCTTGGATGCAGGGCACATCCAAGTCTGTCTCGGCATTTGAATTTGTGGTACTTTAAAACTCCAGCTTTTTCTACGATATGCCATCTAAGATGTTTAAGTGTGAAAATATTTTCTATCTAGTAATTATACTTAAAATAAATGATTCACAATAACTATTAAATATAAATAAGTGTAGAAAGGGTCATCACCTGTGATTTAAGTGGTGCAGAGCATGCAATAAATGTTTCCAAAGCAGTTTAATTATTCATTCTCGGAGCTAAAAAGAAAAAAAAAAACCTTTGAGTTTGCTAATGACTGAACAATAGGGGTAACTCCTAATGTTATTATTTCTTTGAAGTTGAAGGTGATTTAAAGTCACTCATTGTTATATTTTCTTTTTCTTTTAGTGTTCAAGGCAACTGGGTGTATTTCTCTAACCAAGAGTAACATTAAAGATTAGAGCTATTTGAGAAAGGTACTATTTATTAATAGAAATTTTTCTCTAACAACCTGCATGGTAACTCTTTTTTCTCTAACTGATAATTGGGAATACTAAGTAAATGAAACTATCTCCACTGAACTTAAGACTTTAAAATGCAGATATGATGAAGAAAACTAAACTTATAGAGTATTGTCAATTCTAGTATGTGGACATTAGCTTTACCTTCTGGATTTCCTCTTGACCTTAATGTCTTTAAAAAGTATTCTTCTTGAGCTTATCCTCCTTTTTAAAGATTCCTTTCCATCAATGCCTTTCTGAATTCATACCTCATCCTTGCCAAAACTTGCTGATGTGAGACTGTTAGGTTCAGAAGCGTTCAGATAATCACTTTCCTGCGGCGCGATGAGATGGCGATAATTCCTCCCTGGGTAAGAGGAGAAGCAAGTATTCTTGCCATTGCCTGCATACAGTCAAAGCTTCTATTAAGCACCTTCCAAACCTTATTATTTCCTAAGGCTTCTCTTGCATAGGAAAATCACCCTTTATCTGTAACAATGCAGACATACTGTGTGATTGTTCTGTTTCTGTCCCAGATTAGAAAGGAAGGTTGGTGGCCGTAAGGAGAGAAGAGAATGTGGTGATGGACGATTCTAAACTGCATCTGGTAGATTCTTCCTAGACTGTCATGAGTCAGCCACCGACTGGGGGCGCTGCCCCTGTCTCAGCCACAGCTTCTGCTTCCACGGCTGCCACTGAGGCTCGCCTGCACCCGGAGGGCAGCAGCAGAAAGCAGCATCGTGCTCAATCACCCGGTAGACTAAGGGATAATGTGACCCGACAGACAACTGCGGTTGCCCGGTCCCCGGTGGGGGTGGGCACTAAACTCAATTCTGTTCGGCTGCAGCAGCTGCAGCAGCAACAGCAGCAGCAACAACAGCAGCAGGGCACCAAGACCGGGAATCGAACGACTCCTCAGCACAGCTCCAGAGTAGGCGGAGGCGTGGTGGAGAAGGCGGTGTCCCTGGCTTCCAAAGGGGCAGTGCCGGGAGCTGTCCAAACCTCGGCTGGTGCTGAAGCGGCCCCCACAGCTACTCTGGCCTCGGTGGGCAGCAAGAAGTCTGGCCCACCGGAGGAGCCTCCCCGGGAGGCAGAGCCAGTGCCCTCGAAACTCGGGGAACCCCTTACGCTGGGGGAAGAAGGAGGAGGGGTTGGGGAAGGAGGAGGAGCCGGCAGAGGCTCCGGAGAAAGGGAGGGGGGCGCTCCGCAGCAGCCGCCGCCGCCGCCGCCCAAGGGCTGGAGAGGGAGAGGCACACGCGCTCAACAGAGGGGCGGCAGCGGTGGGGAGGGGGCCTCCCCTTCTCCATCCTCTTCTGCGGGCAAAATCCCAGGCCCCGGCAGCAGAAATTCCGGAAGTGCAGTTATAGGGGGCAGCAGCGGTGGCGGAGGGAACTACTGGAAAGAAGGCTGTCTGCAGTCTGAGCTCATCCAATTCCATCTCAAGAAAGAGCGGGCCGCAGCGGCAGCGGCCGCGGCTCAGATGCACACTAAGAACGGTGGCGGAAGCAGTACTCGCAGCTCTCCGATCGCTGGCTCCCCAGCCATTTGCGAACCCCTTGCCATCCCTTCCGCCTTCCCAATGGCGGCGGCAGCGGAGGGCCCCCAGCAGAGCGCAGAGAGCAGTGCCAGCGGCGGGGGCATGCAGGCGACCGCGCCACCATCATCGCAGCCTAACTCGCAGCAGCTCCAAGAACAGGAAGAAATGCAGGAGGAGATGGAGAAGCTTCGAGAAGAAAACGAGACACTCAAGGTAAGGAGGGTGGGGGAGGGGAAGTGAGGGCCTGGAAAATTAGGGCGTGTCCAGGCGGGAATGAGAGGCTGTGAACCTTTAGGGATGCTTAAGAAGGGAAATGAGAGGTCGGATTCCTAGGCCTTTTCTGCATTTAAGAGAGTCAGGGATTAGTAGCGTTAGATTTAAATCCAAATCTGGGCCTTCTTATCTTTAATTATCACTTGACCCACTTTTTCATAGAGAGCAGTAGAGTAGGAAAGCTAGAGGAGGCCTAAAGGAGGGCCCATTTTTTTCTTGTTTCTCCTTCCTTGGGCCCTGTGTCACGCTTGTCTCAAAGAGAGGGAAATGGAAGAACTCGGGATTTGGAGTTAGGTTAGGATGTAGAATTTATACTTGGGGGCAGGATGAGGTGCGGTGCTAGGCTAATTTTACCCGTGGCCTATTGCCACCTCAGAATGAGATCGATGAGCTGAGAACGGAGATGGACGAGATGAGAGACACTTTCTTCGAAGAAGATGCCTGTCAACTACAGGAAATGCGCCACGAGTTGGAAAGAGCCAACAAAAACTGCCGGATCCTGCAGTACCGCCTCCGCAAAGCTGAGCGCAAACGGCTCCGCTACGCGCAGACTGGGGAAATCGACGGGGAGCTGTTGCGCAGCCTGGAGCAGGACCTTAAGGTCTGCGGGGCCCGGGGTGAGGTGGGGGGTAGGGGTGGTGGTGGGGGATGCGCGGAGTAGTGAGAGGTGGGGGTGGGACAGCCGGTCGGGACTCGTGGGGGTTCTTGACGTTGAAAGAAAGGCCTTCAGTGGTTAAGTGTACAACGCTTTAGGTATTGGAAGGTTCGGGGTACTGACTACGAAATGTTACAGAAGGGAAACAGGAGAGGGAAAGTGAACCTAAAGAGTAAAATGTATGCTGAAGGTCTCGGGGAGAGCGAACTCTGGGACTCTCCTGGGAGTAAGTGTGGTTTTTCCAGAGGAAGTAGGAGGGGGCACCTCCTTCCCCTAGCGGAAACAAGGGCGTGGCAGAGCGAGCTTGGCCTTCATCTGCCCTCCAGAGCCGGCCTTCCCAGAGAGAGGACCAGGTGGAGGCAGGGTTGAGGACTGCACCTCAAGTCCCTGCTAGGGAAATTCACCAACTTAAGGTTTTCTTTGAAGTAGGCAAGGAAAAATGAAGTAAATTAAAGAACCACATTCTTAATGTAAGTTTGCTTCAAAATCGACCTTAGTGAAGAAATTGCAACCTTGAAGTGATTTTTTAAGCAGGTGTGATCTATTCAGCTTTCACTGTGGGCAGATTCGTTGACAAATGCAAACCATGTGTTATCTTCATGGCCAACCAAGCAAATATAAATTTAATTGTACTAGCTTCATGAGGATATAAAAATCAAGAGTTACTATCCTATATTTGTTATACAGTAAGTCACGAGCAGACATTTTTATGAAAGTCATTGTATTTCTTTTTTTCCTTTTGCTTACATTTCTTGAGTGCTTACTATGCACGAAGCACTGTAAAAAGCATTGTCACATGTCTTACCATCGCATTGAATTTTCAAGGAAAAAATAACCTTATACGGTAGGGATTATTAAGACTATACAGATTCAGAAGCCTGACATTCTAAGGAGTTGCGTGCCCAAGCTCCAGCCCTGTGGTGGCTGCCAGGTGGCCAGGCTGGCTCACCCCCTTTCTTTAAAACCATAGCCTGTGTCTGAGCCACCTCCTCACACTGCTCCAATTTACTTCTAATCCTAGAATTCCCAGATAATTTCAAAATGGTAGGCAAAATACTGTAAATTCTAAGAAATTAATCTCAAGGACTGTAAGTTTTTTAAAACTAATTACCTGGGAGTATAGGATAAAATTTAAGCCTCATATCCCACTTGTAAAAACTTTGTTTCCTCTAAAATGTGACTATGGAAGTATCTACACTGTAGTTTTATTGTAGAATTAAAGGATTTATATGAAGTTTCTCTACACATGAGCAAAATCAATCAAACATGTATTATTACTGTTAGTATAAAGATTAAAGGAAAAAGAATGGAGAGCTTGCTACCTATGGGAACTTGCGCATATCACTTCACCTTGTCTTTAAAGTAGCAATATAAAAATGAGACTGTTGCATGAATTAAATTGTTTATATCTGAATGATATATAGGTAAACACTATGTAAGTACTGGCTTGTAATACTTTTAATATGAATATAATTTTAGTCCACTTACTGTGCTATCCTTAATTACATTTCATTGCACTTTAATTTAGGTTGCAAAGGATGTATCTGTAAGACTTCACCATGAATTGGAGAATGTGGAAGAAAAGAGAACAACAACTGAAGATGAAAATGAGAAACTGAGGCAACAACTTATAGAAGTCGAGATTGCAAAGCAGGCTTTACAGAATGAATTGGAAAAAATGAAGGAGGTTAGTATTTTGTTATCTCATGTATGCACTAAATATATATGTGTACATACATACATTATATGTAATCTCATATGTAAAAGACATACCTTTAGATTCCAAGCACTAATTTTACTATTAAAGTAGTTCCACTTACTTTTTCTGATAAGAGGTCAATTTACTAAAGAAATAAGGCTATGTTTTATTTGAGGGGAAGAGTTATTACCCTCCCAGGTGGCAGATGGCTTAAAACACAGCACTATGATGATGTCTGCAGCCACTGTTGCATGAGTTCAAACCCAGGCCAGAGAGCTGACCCACATGGTGCAGCAGACCTCTCCGGGCCTACCAGCTGCCCTTCTTAGCAGTGTATATCAGTCAATCCTCCTGTGTTGTACCTTATTCTGTCTGATGAATCCTCTCACCTCCCACACCTCTGGCCGATACCACAGTTATTGTATGCATAAATAAATACAATCTTTTAAAAAAAATAGAACTGTAACAATATTACTGAGTTCACAGATTTTAAGATGAAGATAGTCATAAAGGCCATTTAATCTAATCTAAGCATTATTTGTATCCTTCATATAGCAAAGCTTCCAGATGGTTTAATGCTTGAAACATCACCAATAACTAGCCCTTATAATTCATATTCAGATCAACACTATCAGAGACTAGCTCTGTTTAAAGGTTCTCTGTGTACTTTGTTGAAATATGAAACTTTAACCAGTTCATCTTAGTTCTACCCTTCAGGATAAAAAAGTTAGTTCTCTTCCATATCACATCTTTGAAGATTCCTACTATGTTTCCCTATAATCTTATCAGTCCTTCTCCAAAAAAAAAAAAAGAAGAAAGTAAAATGATTTACCAAGAAATTATTAGCTTTGAATAAGTAGAAATTTGAATCAAAGTAAAATTATTCTTTGAAAACTGCCTGAGAATTAGGAGATGGTCCTCTGAACATTTTCCTCTGCTTAAATATGCAGAATTAAATTATATTCTAATCTTTTCAAGGACAACTTAGATGTTGGGCCACCCCCCATTGCTGTGCTTATTTCAAAATAATACAAAAATATATCTTAAAATGTAATAGTGAAGATGCCAATATATGGATCTATAAGGAGTATGTAGAAAACTATGCCAATGAGGTACACTTTTCTGTGTTCTAAATTGTCTTCAGATTGCAATGTCACCCTGAAAAACATTTTCTAATGTGACAAATAAGGGAAAAATCATTTCATTGATGCAAGTTTGTCTACTACCTAAGGGTGGCTGTGCTGGGAGAGAACAATGTACAGAAAGGGAGCCTGTGACACATTACCTCCATCTGTAACCAATGGTGTGGCTTTCAAAGTCTCTAACTTCTACTTTCCTCAGTTTTAAATGTTTCTGTTGTGGGCATTATGACTTTATCATACAAGCTAACATTTTACCATGAAAGAGCAGCATAGTTTTGTTTTTCAGAAGTTAAAAGCTCACATATGAAATTAATGTAGAGATTAATATACGTTCTTCCAACAATAATTACAATTTAAATGTGTCAAAATTACAAGATTGATTTCCAGGAAAAAGATAGAAAATAGATAATTATATTCACTTGCTAGGGCTATTATAATAAAATACCAAAAATTGGGTGATATAAACAAAAAATTTATTCCCTTACCATTCTGGAGGTAAGAAATCTAAAATCCAAGTGTTGGCAGGATTGACTCCTTCTGAGAGCTGTGAGGGAAGGGCCTTTGCAGACTGGTCACCTTGGCTGTCTTTGGTGGCCATCTCCATATTTACATGGCAGTTACATCTCCCTGTAACTGACTGTAAGCAGATTTCTCCTTCTTATAAGGATACCAGTCACATTAGATTAAGATCCACTGTAATCACCTTATTGTACATTTGCTTCCCTCTGTATAGCTCCTATTCTAAATAAGGTCACATTCTGAGGTATTTGGAAGTGCTGGGGAAAGGGAGACATAATCCAACCAATTACAGTAGCTATTAAATAACTTCGTATTGGCCCTTTCCTGGCAGTGCAGTGGGTTGAAGCACAATATTATGAGGCTATCTTCAGCCATTGTGGCATGAATTCCATCCCTGGCCAGAGGGGTGACCCACATGGTATAGCAGATCTCTCCTGACCACTGCTCCCCTCAGCAGTGTATTTTAGTAGATCTGCCTTTTCTGCTCCCCACTCTGTCTCTGGTGAATCCTGTCACCTCCTGCACCTCTGGCCTGTACCCCAGTTCTTGTATGCTTAAATAAATAAATCTTAAAAAAAATAGATTCTCATGGGCAAGCAAGGAGTAAGTTCATTGTCAGTCTCATTGGACACCGATTTGTGATCATACCTCATTTATCTTCTCCTGTATACTTCATTTATATAACTTAAAACATTCACATAAATGAGCTTCTCCTGATTATAGGGATAATAAAGAAGACTGTCTTGTGACTTGGTATTGTGTAAATGTTTTTCAAGTGATTATCTGGAAAGATGGGTTTAAGAGTGACTAATGGCTTTCTGGTTTTCATCCTGTGGCTAAGAAAGTGGATAATGCTCTGAGACAGACTGTCCTTTAGCCTAACAAGTGGGAACACTCCCACTTGAAAATAGTACTCTGGCTACTAGAAATAAGAGCAGGAACATGGGAATGTCTTCAGGAGAATCCTCATAAATGCACTTCCTTGATTCAGTTCCCCACTCTTCCTTCCACAAAAACATCCAGTTTTCTAACTGTGAATTGAGAATTTTGCATCAAGCAGTGTGGGTATATATATGTTCAAGCCAAGAGTCAATTCACATTCTCCTTGGAGTTATAAATGCCAAGCTCTAATCTTTGGTTCAAGACTGCAATAATGAAAGGTTTAGGAATTTAGGTATATGGGAAATCAGCTTTTAAAGAAAACTCATAATAAAATGATGGGTGGCAGTTGTGGTAAAAAGAATTAGACAGACAGAAAGAGAAATGATAAGAGTGGAATACAAAAACAAGGCTTCTAAATGTAATAAATGAAAAATATTCTGGCGGGAGAGATATATATTGATTTATTGTAGGTTAACCTTCATAGTGTTTAGAAAAGTGTCAGAAATAGAAAGTAGTATAAAATATGTTTAGAAATCAGAAAATTTTTATTAAAATAAGATTTTTACCATGGTAATTTTTTATCTCCTCCAAGAAGATAAGTCTTAAAACTCGCTGCAATAATAACTGGTTCTGTGGTGGGGGGGGGACGACTATGAGGTTGAATCCTGACTTGACCATACACAACTGACAATTTCATTCTATCATCTGCTTCCTTGTTGTAAAATGAAAACATACTCAAGTCCTTGATTGAGTGGGTGTGAATAACATGACAGTCATCCTTAGAGGCATTCTACCAGAATTACAAAACAAAAAACAAAATTAGGATACAAGGTATGGAGTCAAATCATAAAATGCTAAGTAGAATATATTAGAGAAGTAATCCTCTGACTCCCTGATTTTAGTTTCTTAAATGAAGTCAGATAGATGTTGAATAGCACAGACGGGACTCATAGACCATCTGCTGGAGTTGGGAAATCATTTACCAAGTGTTTAACCAGCTTCAGGGGTGCTGACCAGTTGTTCTCAAGGCTAGTGGCTAAGGCCTGCTCCATACCCCCTCACATCCTTCTGTTTGTTTTCTCCCCCTGGGAATATGGAGTAGGAACCTGGGAGTAACAAGAGTGGAGGAATGAGGTAATTAGTTGAGTCTGTCTCAATTCCTTGCTTGTATTGAAACAACTGATATTTGCCAACTGTGAACAAGAGGGACCACTTAGGATGCCTTAGAATCTTAATAGTATTCTTATTCCATTCGTAAAACATTGATTGCTACTGACAGTATGCTTTCTTGCAATAGAAAAACGTCTTTACCTTTATGTAACCTGGGGAAAATGGGGTCTAGCCTCCAGCATCACAAGCAATCAGTACAGAGGTTTTTGTAAAAAGCTATTGTATGTAAACAATGACCAACTCATTGAATGCCAAAGTGAATTAATGTGCAGATAGTATCCAGTGAGAGCTTGAAGAGGCTTTATGTAGTACACTGTAGGTAGGTGTGCAGTGAGTCTTTGCTACAATTATTTGAAGGTCACTGCCCTTCATGATATCCTGTGGCTGTAGGACTACCTTTATTTTAAAAAATGTAAAACCTGTGTGATCTTTAAGTGAGAAGGGGGTTCTCTTCTTTTCTTTAAAGTTGGTGCATGGAGAAGCATTGATGACAATTTGAGAATAAAACCAATAAAAGCAACATCAAAGGATCTTTACAAGTGGAAAGGCTGAGATGCTACTGTTGCTGAATGTTGCTTATCAGATTCCTTTAGATTCAGAACTGCAGTGTTTGTATTGTCTAGTCCCTCACTTGCACACAAAAGTGTTAAAAAATAACAATTAAAAAAAGTAATTTCCTGGTATTTACTCTGGAGTTTTCTTAACTGGCCTATGGTAGTAGCACCATTTATCTTCGGACCTTTATTTTCTGTGCACTTGGTTAATGTATATTATCTGTTGCAATGAACTTTTATTGGGGAACACAAAAATAATTAACACTATAAATTTCAACAGTAGTGTCTCTTGCTTCCTTTTTAAGACTATACAGAATTTTTTTTTT